AAGAATTGCATGTATGTGTTACGCCAAACTCCTATTAGCCAACTTACTAACATGTTGGAGCATCAAATACATTTTTAAAATACAGACACTGGGGGAAGCTGAATAAATTAGCTTCAGCTAACGCTACCTTACCTGCTAGCTATCACTAGCCAGTGTCCAATCACTGCTGTTTGGTTTTTACCTGTTTTTTTTTTCTTTTTCTATGTTTCATAAAATTGCACATTTCTATCGCATCATATGGATTTTATGTTAGAAAGTTAGATTCAGTTCTTAACTCTTCTGACCACATTTATATGTGAATAAAAACTGTAAATAGGTACATAAATATATAAAATCTGTGTTTTTTGGTTTTGCAGCAGCAGGCATTGGGGACACTGTGTAATGTAGTTTTTCTTCCTTTATCAGGAAATGAGGGAAACATTTTCCAGATTGACGAGGAAACAGGAAACATCACGATGACTAAAGCTGCTGATATTGTCGGACCAATAACCCTCACAGTTCTGGTAAGTAATAATAAATCTGTTTTCCACATTTGTTCTGTGGTGATTTTGAATGAGGAGTTAGTTTCTGCAAATCATTTCACAAGAAACAGCCTTCTTTTAAGGGATTTAACTTTCTTCTGGCCTTCAGGCGTCGCAGGTGACCAACAGAGATCAGTTTGCAGTGACACAGGTGACCATCGAGGTGATGAAGAAGAGCAGGAACCCTCCTCGCTTTGAGAAGGAGCGATATGAAGGATTTATCTACAGCAACTCGGTCCCGGAGAGCATGATCCTTCGAGACCGGAGCACCAACCGGCCCTTCAGGGTCCGAGCCCGAGACGAGGACTTCGCCGGCGTGAGTGCTCTTTATGTGGCACGAAATATCAAGCGTTTACATTATTTCTCCTTAAATTAATAAAAACTGGAAACATAGCTGGACTTTATAAATATATAATCATGAATTTAATGATCGCCCCAATCAAAATGAACTAGTCAAATGATGATAACAATCCTCAAACCATAACAAGAATCTACATCCATACTGGTTCTGAACAGCTGTTCTTAAGATGCCTCTGTTAGCATGTTAGCATGCTAATTGCAGCATTTGATTTGCATGCTGTAATTAGCATGTTATTTGATTTAACTGATGTCAGTGGTACGTCAGTGTTTGTTTCTGTTGATGTTGTTGTTTGTTTTTCTTCAGCTTCGTGGTCAGAAATCACCTCATGAACCTTTAACAGCACAGATGCTGAATAAAATAAAACAACACTGACAGTCCTTACATATGTTTCTTTGGTGCATCTTTGTGTTTTCAGGGCGTGAATCCAGATGTGAAGTATGAGGTCCAGTACAGCAGCTATGTCAACGTCACCTCGGACGGTTTTGTGATCCTGAAAAGAGTTGTGAAGACGGAGTCCTTCGCACTTCAGGTGACCCATGTGTCGACTTTTTAGGCTCAAAATCAGATCACAGTGTCTCTGCTCACACTTTCTGACACTTTCTGCTTAAATCTTTCGCTGCCTGCAGCTCCGAGCAGTGGACGCGACGACGGGGGAGTCTGGAACTGCAGCGCTCTCTGTTCAGGTGATACCAGGTAAGACCTCCTGTTTTACCAGAACCTCTTATAACCAACCGCCAGTACAGGTCATACCAAGTGGCTTATTTAATATGTTTAGTACTGGTATGCTGCTACACTATTGGGCGAAAATCAGTAGCTGCTTCGCCAAAGTGCTTTTCAGTAGAGACGTACGATTGATGCTACGAATTTACCCAACAAATGTAGATATTGTTATTTATTATGTAAAATTATAGGAATAATTTTAAGATTGCAATTAAAACCATCTTGTATTTTTATACAAATTTACGTGAGTAATTTTAAAATTAAGGTTTCGAGCCAATAATATAATTTATTTTGCAAATTTACACTAAATATTAGAAACTATCCAGAAGTCCAGCAGAACCAGGCTTAGAATGTAAAGTGTTTTCTTTAATAAAGACTCATGAATACCCCAGGACAGCTGGACACTAGTTTTTATCAGTCAAACATGAGGAAATTGTTGCTTTAATATTAATAATTGCTCTCTTTATATGGTGCTTTTGAGAGTTACACAGTGATTCACAAAAACATAAAACCAAAAAATACCAGAGACATGTTAAATAGGATTAGAAATAATACAAAACTAGTCACAGCAGTTCCTCTGGTTTTTGCAATTGGCCTCATAAATCGTCAGCATGTTGGAGATATATCAGCAGCTAAAGTATATGCGCATTTTAAGCATTTATTATAAAACTCTATTGTGCAATACACATGTAACCGTGGACTTTCACCGGATTTTATAAATCGTCCTGCAGCTGAGGCTGATGGAAATGTTATTGTTTGTGGCAGCAGGATGGTGAGTGTGGAGGAGTCAAAATAATAGTGTAACAGTGTTCATGGTAATGAAGGAACATGTGACCCAGCAACAGGGCAGCTCACTGAGGAGGAAAGTTAAAGTATAGACACACACACACACACACGCACGCACGCACACACACACACACACGCATGGGGATTTGTTGACAAGAGCAAATCTATACAATATCCTTAACTTAATATACTGTTGGGTCTTGACCTCAGTAAACAGGCAGAAGTTTGTGTCACTGTTAACTGAATTTCAATTACAAGAACTAGATTAGTATTTTAAAAACTGAATATGGACGCAGACAGAGTGGAATTTTCAGCAGGGATCGAATACAGTTTTAGAGCAGCTGAATTAACGTTCAGTCTAATAGATTCAATTTCAAATTATTGGCTTCAAATTTGTTTTTTAATGGCAAAAGAATTTGAAATTATGTGATTCAGATTCAAACTTTGATACAATTCTGCAAGTTGAGCATCAAAATATAAATGATTAAAATTCAGTTTCTAGTAGCTCAGGGAGATACAGGGAGATGACACATATGTATATATATGATTTGGCATCTGATGATTTGATGCTCGGTTGCTTTATTATTATTCTGCAGACTTGTCCTCAATCAAACCCAGACAAAACTTAGACATATTTCACACACAGTAAATTAGTTGACTTCCTAATTTTTAAAAATGTAATCATGACTAACTCACGGCAGACATACTAACCATCATGTGGAAACCAAAAGTTAAATAGTGTTTACAGTATACTAGTAGTGTAGCAGTTCAGATTTTTGCAAACCTTTTCAGGTTCTACATAACTGCAAACTATGTTTAGTTTTAAACTGTTCAACCGTAGCTTGTCCACCTGTGTTCCTCTGCAGCTGTGGCCATCCCATCGCCCTCAAACATCGGCTATCGTCCAGGCGACATGGCGCTCCTGGGTCTGATCATGGCGGCTCTGCTGGTTCTCTGCCTCATTGTGATTGGCTTCCTGATTTCGCGCTTGTGGAAAGGAAACGCGAGCATGGACAAACTATGCGAGGTGAGTCACTTAACGAAATGTGGCCGTCACTTCAGGCTTTTGTCCACAACCCACAGACACTCAGTTTACAACAATGACTCGGACTGATGAATCGAATAAATGACAATAGCTTGTAAAAATGATATTCTCCTAATTAATATTGGTGTTTCCACTTTTGCTACAACTTTGAAGCCTGAAACAATTTCCCTGTGGGGATTATTAATGTTATTCTGATTTATTCTCTTGTGATAACGGACACAAAAGCACCTCCGTACTGTCATGGCTCAGATGTCAGAGACACACTCAGCTGTTTAATGTGTAGAGCTTCTCCTGAGTGGCGTTGATGAATATTCATCAGCTGGAATCCACAGAAGAGCTCTGTGTTAAAACAGAACTCTCTCTGAAACCACGGTGGCAACTGTGACATCGAACAAAGCTTCGATCTCCTCCATACTCCATTAACGGCTGTATTAATGGGGGGCCTCTCTCCTGCCTGTAGTGCCTGGGCCCCTGTCTGCGGTCCGACCAGCCCCGGTCCGGTCACAGGGACTCGCTGCAGTACACCAACGACGGCTTCCAGAACGAGGCCGACCCGGGCCGAGGGGGAACCAGGCGCTGGAACAACGTCATGCCCAGACGCAGCACCTTCCCCCAGCCTCGAGGTCGGGTCATCCCCATGGACAGACGGAGCCGCCACTGCTCCTCCTGCGGCGTCTACACCAACCACGTCCCCAAGGGCAGCCCCTCGGCCAGACCCTCCAGGAGGGGCAGGGGAGACGGGGACGAGTACAGCATGAGGTCCATCCTGACCAAGCAGCGGAGGAGGGAGGGCCAGAAGACGGTGTGGTTCAAGGAGAGCGAGGACTCCTCGGACATCGAGGTGGAGATTATCCCCGACACCGTGGGCCGGGTGGAGGAGGAGACGGAGGAGGAGCTGGAGGGGGAGGTGGAGATGGAGGGTGTTGTCAGAGATCCGGCTGCCCCGCTGAGAGAGTCCGACGGCGGGCAGGAGAGCCAGAGCACGGAGTCCGGCGAGGAGCAGGACTCTGGAAACGGCAGCTTAGAAAAGGAGAAGGGAAACCAGGAGGAGGAGCGCTGACAGCAGAGGTCAGACTGGACACGAGCAGAACGCTGTTTGTTTTCTTGTCACTTTGGATTCTGCAGCCTCCAGCAGAGGCCTCAGCAGGCCAGGATGACACGGCAAACATCTCTGAACAACTGCCAAACCTCAAGAAGGATCCAAAAAGTATTTATCTTCTACTGTGAGTATCTTAGAATACAGAGTCAGTGGGCATAACTTCATATGGAACAGTTCTAAGCAAGGATACACCACAAGCTCTATAACACCTGTACCGAGGTGACATGTTTTCCTGGTTCTGGATATCGTTTATGGTCATAATAACAACATACTCACTCATCTCTAGTGCTTCAGTAGAAGGCACATTTAATTTATATTCGGTCCTCTTGTCCAAGAAGCTTTCACTGTTCTGACAGGTGGAGAACTGAGGCTGCTTCTTCTCATCCTCAGCTTGTATGACGTGAGTTGTGAATGGTTGGTGAAAGAGTCTGGGAAGTCAGGACTGCACTCAAACTAGTGTCCTTCACCTTTAGATGCAGATGGTGAATCTCGTCTGGACAAGATGTTCTCCTGAGTTGACTGGCTGTGTAGTCTCTCCTGTGAGCTCCTCAGACTGCACAGACAACACTGCTCAGCTCGTGTTTGGATGTTTTATTCTCAACCAATTTGTGTCTTTTTTTTGAGTCTCAAGTGCACTGGGATGTTGTGTTTTGGAAAAAATCCTTCTAAGTTTTTCAGAAAATCCAGCTACACAAGAGGTACCACATTGATCTGCCTGCCATCCATCTCTGTTTGATGATGTGCTGGTTTTTCAGCATCTCTTACATGAGATGGGTAGCCTTCTTAATGTGTTGACTGGAGTTTCTGTAAAGCTCTAAACAGCCTCCCAGTGCACGTCAGAGCCAGCAACACTCTGAGACACAAACCTTGAAGATAAAACAGCCAAACTAACGCTGAGCAGTGTTGTATATGTGGTCCAATGCAGCAAAGAATGCACAGACCTATATTTTGGAGAGACTAAATAGCCCTTCAACACAAGTGAGCAGCTCCTCAGGACAAGACTCAGCGGTCCATCTGCATCTAAAGGATAAGAGACACTCCTTTAGGGAAGCAAAGTCCAAGCTGTGGACAGAAAAGACAGATAGTTTGAGAGAGGAATGAAGGAAGCCAGTGGAGAGGGTCCACAACACCACTTATCGGGTACTTACAATGCAGTCTTGACATCCCTCCTCAGACAGCGTCACCACCATTCACATCTTGACTCACATGGATTCAGAGTAATGACACCTGGATCTGAGGAAGCCTCTTGGATGAGAGATGAAACATCTTCAGGAACCGTAAAGAACCAAAAAAGTGGTCAATGTGCCTTCTACTGACCCACTCAGGATTACCATGATCTGGATCGCTGAGAATCTACAGACTTGTTTTATCTTTATTTATGAATAGTTTTCTTTATTGAATTTCCAGGAAGTCCACTCTATCATCGACTACATACCAACCATAACAGATTTTATCCTCACCGCCTGCTCCTACCTGCAGTCAGGTGAGTGGTTCTGTCTGCGGTGGAACGCCGCCGTGGTGCTGTCACGATTCCTGCACACATTCTGTACGAGCTTTACTAAACCCAACAAGTGTCTGGATTTTATTGTGAGAAGCGGACGTGAAGACGGACGTTATCTACTGAGTACTAAACAGCTGAAGGGACTTTTTATGTGGACTGTATTTTATCAAGGATGTTGGTTAAAATAACTACTTTTGTGGGAACTTTGTGGTTAATGTATAGTTGACATTTTGTACATTTAAGTGACGTTTGAGGGAATAATAAAGTTTGAGTCTAGGGATCGCCTTGCTATTTGTATATTAATATTTCCTCACACCAGCTTCTTGTGAGAAAGCCTTGTTTAAAGGAATAGTTAGACAATTTATTAAATGTTTCTCGGGCTCAGACTACTCAGTATGAGATTATAATTACGCATTTTGCCGAGAAACGTGACACCCAGTCAAAATATTAGGATGGAGGAGGCAAAGTTGAGGGAATGAGATGTAAACAGACTAGTGTTAGAAGCAGCAAGTACGATAATACTGGGAGTTATGTGTTTGGGAACCTTTGGAAAAACTGAATTGCAGTAGTCGTACATTCATGTCGTATTAGAATACGAAGAAAAATTTGTTGAAAAACCAACAACAACAAAAAAAAGCCCCTCAAGTAGGAACAAGTTGGAAATTCTGTGAAAATTTTGATTATTGGTACAAATGTACATATGACACATCAGTTTTGTTTTTTATTTAATTTAATGTTAAGACAGGTAAATACACCAATGCTCTGCTGTGTATTATGAGATCAGTATACAGAAGTTCTACAGTTGTGAACATGTAGTGCCGAAAAAGAAGGCTGTCTGAAGATGAAGTGATAATATTCTAAACATAGTGTACATTTAAACCGATACTGATGGTTTTCAGTGGTTAAAATGTTTTGCTGTTTACTCAGTTCATTGCTTCCTGTCCACTCTGTTTCTCAAAACTCTGCATAAGAACCTCATACAACCCCGATTCAAAGAAACCAAACTGTCTCTTTAAAAGGTAACAAACGCTGCCAACCAGGACCTTCTAAAGCTCAGTTATTAACATGCTACATCTCGTTTGTTTAATCCATACAACAGCAGCAGTGGAACAACAGGCTGGGGTTTAACGGTGGATTATGTGCCGGACTGTTTCTGAGCCTGGAAGTTTTGTTGTCACCACGAGGTTTAAAGAAATCCAAGAGAGACTCCAGGAAGTAACTGCAAACAAAAATAATTACAGCCTGACTCCACATAAAACCTCAACCAGAACAGTTTACATTTGTGTGGAATAAATGAGACGGCATGTTGGTCAGGTGTGCCGGCAGGTAAACTGTGTTACCTTTGAACAATATTTGTTGCTAAGCTGAGCCAAGCAGCGGCTTTCTGTGGCTTCACATCATTCAGCTCTGAGAATCAACATGCTGAAGAACTTCTTCAGATTCATTCATCAAAGCTACACAACACAGTAACACATTTTCTTTCAAAAACAGTTTATTGACGCCAATCATGTTAATACAGTCGTATTAATAGTCGAAGACCAAATTCATTCTAAAAACCTAATTCAAAGTACTCTTTTACAACAAATCCCTGATTTAAAAAAAAAAAAAAAGGAAAAAAAAAAAAAAGATCACTTGGATGTTTGAAAAGGGCAGTACCACCACAATCCGCTGATCCCTGATCATATAAACTCACACAACCACCAGGTCCACAATCTGTTTCTCTCACGCTGTCACAAATGGTAAAAATTCTTCAGATCAGTGCATTTAGGCTCTACACAAAGTCTATTGCTAAATACGGTTTGATTGCAAAGCAACAGAAAACGTGTGCAGCTCAGATTTTGAAGCTTGAACATGACACTCGGGTGCAGGATGTGCTCATTTGGACTTAGCGAAGCCCACCCTGTTGCTGTCGCGGTCGAACACGGTGTAGTACTGGCCGATGAACACGTCTCCCAGAATCCACAGCGGCCCGGCGGGGGCGGGGATGTCCAGGCCCATGAAGCCGCTCAGACAAATCGTCTTTCCAGCCTGAGTCTCCTGCAGGATTGGGATGAAGAGAAAGTCACAGAGTTATGACAAAAATGTGAACCCCAGAACCTGTGGCGGGTTTGAAAGAAAACAAACACAACAAAAAAAAACAAAAAAAAAAACCCAAAACTAAATCACCAAAATTACACCGGGAAAAAAAAACAAATTGTGCTCGTCACACTTTTACTTTCTTGGATCATTTTCCACTGCAGTAGAAATTCCTGCACCTCTATGGAAACAGCATAACTACGACTAGAAGGAGAGAGAACCTAGGAAATGATTCTGAGCACTAACACACAGATGTGATGCTATTTCATCCAACATCTTGCCAACAGTTTGCTTTTCTGTATACTGGTTTTGAGTGTTCTGCAGTTATTTTATTGATCCAGTATATTTTGTTTTCCTCTCAGTCTCTTTTGTTCTCTGCTCTGTGGAAACACTGCCTGCAGTTCAGCTGAAAACTGAGTTGTCAGGTGGTCACAGCTGTGTAAGACTCGTTTGTTCAGTTGTACCGAGGAACACAGATATTCTTATTTCTTTTACAGACTCTGGGGTGAACTGGGAATTTTTAGAATTTTTGATCTTACATTAAATTTTCTTGAAGGAAGCAGAAGTCACACAATTTGTTCAAAGACTGTCAGAAAGTGGAAAATGTAACGATGCTTCACATTTTATTTGAAGTTTCTGTCTGAAAAACTGAACGTTTCTTTCAACTTGGCGGCACGTTTTGAGGTTCAGTGATGACATTTCACAAAATCACTTCATTCTAAATGCCAAAAATTTTTGCACCAGATCTTGACAAAAACGAAGAATTCTGGGCTTGTTGGTGCAACTGAGAAACAATCAGTTGCGACCAAACAGTCATGAAAAAAACGAATGAATGAAAAAAAAAGAAAAAACGAATGACCTGCTGAACTGCAGGCTGTGTTTACACAGAGCAAAGAAATGAGAGGGATTGGGAGGAAAATAAAACCTACTTCATCAATAAAATAAATGTAGTATGACTCAGGAACAGCACACAGAGAAACAAGTTGCTGGAAGATACATGACAGCATGTGGAGCCCCATGTTTCCCACTATTAGTGACACCTGTGGGCACTTGGAACTACGTTGAACATGTTGATTCCAGGGTTGTTTTCTAATTCTTGTAAAGTAAATGAAATCAAAAAAGTTCAACTTTAACTGTTTTCTTTTGTAAGATTAATGGTTTTACATCTTTGTTACATGGCAGGACTTTATGCTGCAGTGAAAAACGCTGCAGGTTCCAACAACAACAACAACAACAACAACAACAGTAATAAAAACACTCAGAAGCTGCTTGGGTTTCAGACCATAAATAAAAATGGGAATGTGACAGTCCAGGAGTGAGCACCAACGAGGAAAACAAACTGTGATCCCTCCTCAGACAACAAACCAGCCTCCTCCTGGTTTTGCAAAACGAAACAAAGCTGCACTTGTTTTGTTTTTTATGACGTAACTCAGAGTCAGTGTTGTTTTGTTGGTGCAGCGGGCGTCTCTGTGTCGCCCTCTGCTGGATGATAAACTGCATGTGCTGCACAGCGTCTCACCTTGAGGACGTACTGCTCTCCTGTCAGACTGTAGCTCTGTCCGCCCACATTGAAGGTGATGACGGGCAGCGACGGGATCTTGTCGCAGTTTATCATGTACTGAAACACAACCGACAACCACGTTTCAACACACAGATCATTTATTCAACTCAAGACTAAACGGACGTATAAGAGAATAATAAAGGTGCAGGTGTTTTACGACTCTCTCATTGATCAAACTGTCTGAATGCTGTTTTTTTGCTTCAACAAACCCAGTAAAGCTCGTAAGGCTGAAATTAATGATTGATTTTATTAATCTGCTGATTATATTCACAATTAATCATTTGAGTGATCAGAAAATCAGCAAAAGACAAAAGTAAGTAAAATATGAGCCCTGAACCAGCAGATGTTTGCAAAAAGAAAAAAAAA